CCTGATTTTCATTTTGCACAGTTCAGTTTAAGCCCATCTCTTCTCACACTTGACTTAGAAGTGGCAGAGAGAAACCACGTGCCCCTTTAAGATCTTGCTTAGAAATCTCCTCAGTGAGATGGCCAGGTTCATCACTTTTATGTTCTACTGTTCGACCAAGATTCGACAATGATTGAGATGAGTTCTTTTTTTGGTCACTGCGTAACAAGCATTGCCCTTCTTCAGTTGCCTGCGGTTTCCTTTTAAAGACTCGACCAGAAGCACATTGGCCATCACGTTTCTAACCGCATGCTATCACTGGTGCCATTTTTATTCTCTAAGCCAGCGGTTCTCAACCTGTGGGTTGTGACCCCTGTGGGGGTCGAAGGACCCTTTCACAGGGGTCTCCTAAGACCATCGGAAAACATATTTCTGGTGGTTGGGGGTCACCACAACATGAGGAACTGTATGAGAGGGTGGCGGCATCAGGAAGGTTGAGAGCCACTGCTCTGGGCAGTTAGAGGCTTTACAGCTCTCCTCCCTTCGGACGGAGCCCTCCCTAGGATTGCTCTTGATGTCCATAGTTCTACCAGCACTCGTCAAGGCCATCCAGGCTTTTACTATTAGATACCTTGAAACCCTTCCAGTCTTCGCCCCATTCCCAAACCGCTCCTACATGGCATGCATCTGTTACAGATTACCCCACTCTTGGTACTGAATTCTTAGCAATCTAGTGCTGCTAAAACAAAAAGATCCTTCGTGAGTGGCTTTGACAAGCAGAAGTAAACAACCTCACAGATGAACAAGTTACAAGTCCAAATTCAAGGCTCTAGCTCCAGGGAATTCTTTCTATGCTGGCTCTGAGGGACGGTCCTTGTCCCTTTGAGCTTCTACTCCCGGGTGATTTCCATGTGGTCTGCTATCACTCCTCCCCTAGGTCTGCTTCTCAATTGCTTGTTTATCTCTTGTATATCTTAAAAGAGATGGATTGGATGTATGCGCTACACTAAACGTAACTCACTAACATAACAAAGACAGCCAATTTTCAAATGGGATTATAACCACTGACATAGAGGTTAAGATTTATAATACAAGTTTTGAAAGGATATACAAGGGGGTACCCCCCCCCAAAAAAAACACAGGATTTCTTCCCAAAGCTATGCATTTTAAAAATTTTTTACAAAACAACCTTCAAAGTACTCCCCATTACACGTAATACATTTGCTAAATCTGTGATTCCATTCTTAGAAACATTTTCCAAACCCAGCCATTTGGATGGCTGACAGCACCTCCTTTGTTTTTTTTCCCCTCTTCTACATAGTCAAATCACTGTCCTTTCATGTCCCTCTTCAATCACAGAAATAATAAGAAGACACACGCAGAGCAAAGTCAGATGAGTAAGGTTTGTGGTGCAAGACAGGCATGCTGCTTTTTGCCAAAAACTGGTGCATTGAGATGGCTATGTAAGCAGGTGCATTGTTGTGGTGGCAAAACCAGTACTTTGTCTGCCACAAATCAGGCCTTTTTTGTCACACATTGTTACGCTACCTTCTCAGAACCTCTAAGCTCAATGAACAGTCTGTCCTGAACAAACTCCAAATGAACTACAAGTCAACACATTCGCCCAGTCAGGAAGCTGGTGGACGTCCAGAAGGAGGTGCGTTGCCAATTGACATTTCACCTTTTCTGAAACAAAAGAATCACCTGAACACAAGTTTTTCCCACAGCGCTCTCCTTGTGAGCTGTGTTCAACATCACAACCGTTTCTGCAGCATTTTTCCTAAGCAGGAAACATTTCACAGCTGCATGCTGTTGTCCTAAATCAACCACCACAAAAAACAAGGTTCGAGCAAAACTGCTTTCACAGAAAAAGTGCAGTGACCAGAGAGCACCTTCCCAGGCGATACCACTGGGTGCACTAACTCAGGGTGAGTTGCTGGATGCTCACCTCGTGGGAAACATGCCTACTAGGAAAGTTTTGCTCAGCCCTGTGCAATTCCAGTTTTTTTTTTTGGGGGGGTACCCCCTTATAATTCAATCCATAACACCAGGCTACACTTAACTTCCTGAGGGCCTGGAGGCCTCCCCAAAGGCAAAGCAATGAGAACTCTTGGTGATCAAGTGTAATGATTTCTACCAGCATTATCAGATGTGGTCTCCAGAGCCTGTGAAGTTTAGATTAGAAGGTAGGGAGGAGGTACTAGTTAGGTTGAGTGAGTGGGGGGGCGGGGAGGGGCGACATCATGCACAGGGAGCCGAGAGCACAGGTGTGGAAAGGGGGCATTTTGCTTTGGGGTAATTTATACACAGGTGTGTGCTTAGCCTTCCAGAAGCACTGATGTAACTCTCCTGAGAACCCTCTGAGATGGTTCATTTAGTCAGAGAAGACGCTGCTTCGCAGGAGGCCACAGTTCACGAGTGGCAGAGCTAGGACTTGAACACAGGCAGCTGGACTAACCTGCTCCCAGGGAGTCTGTCAGAAGGGCTGGGACCTAGGGTCCCACGACTAGAGATGGGGCAGTGAGGAGGTGGGAGACAGGGCTACAAAGGCAACAGAGGTTGGATAATGAAGAATATTGCAAAACAGAGGAAATGCCTTTTTCCTGAGCCATTAGAGGCCTTTCAATATATTTACATGGAGGAGCAACGTGATAAAGTTTGCACATCAGAAAAATCACAGCTTTGAATTCCTCCCCTCTGACCGCTGGGCACCTAGGCTTGACTCCTTCAGTCCCCCTGCTTGTGGGGGCTCATGTGCTGCACCACGTCCAGCAGCGGCAGGGCGAGGCGAGTGTGATTTTATGTGACACCAGTGCTCTCACTCGCCCTCCTCAGCTGGCTTTCAGGGCAGCTGCGAGTCCATACATGCCAGTGTCCGTCCCTCCATGTATCTCGTCCACGGAATAGCAAATACTCTTATCTCAAATCTCACATTCTATCGACTTCAAAACTGGCCCTTCCGAGTACGTTAGGAGACTGGTCCATCAATGTGTTTACCTCTTCCAAGGCACCCCTCCCAAGGCTTCCAGAATAGCTCCTACTGAAGCTACTCGCATAAACCCTTCACTGGTGTGATGATCGGCCGATGTTAGTGTGGCCTGGGGTGACAAGGTGTCCTGCAGACAGCCATCATGACAATCTATTATTACTTTATCCCCAGTTGGCATTAGAGCTGCAGGCTGGTCGGGACCTGGGGGGCCCACCTCACCACTGGAAAGGCTCTATCCCATCTCAGCAGGCTCCTTGCACCGCCTGGGCTGGCCAGAGTGTTGGCACCTCCTCCAGTCACCGTGCTCCTGCTCACTCTCCACCACGATGCTCTCCCCCATCATCCGTCCAGCCCGGGATTCTGTTCTCCGAGCGGTCATTCTCAGAAGACTGCCGGGTCAGTTCTCTCTTCTCTCATGCTTCCCTGTGGGACCAGTACCTGTGATCCCACTTTCTGGCACTCACATCCTGTGGACTCACTGGTTTGACTGTGGGCGGGGCCTGAGATGGCTTCTAACCAATAGAATGTTGCCAAGGTGTAAGAGCGTCAACTCTGATTATATGACCCGGGACCGTGTGGTTTCGGGGTGTCATCGAGTGGATTCGGACTCTGCGACCCCAAGTCACAGAGCAGATCGACCTCTAAGGGCTTTCTTGATGGTCCTCTTTGGTCGCCAGGTCTTTCTCTCCTGAAGCTGCTGGGTGGGTGTGGCCTGCCAACCTTGCAGTTGGCAGCACAGAACCTGATCGTTAAGTACCAGGGCTCCTACACAAGATTGTAAATGTCCCTTTCAAGGTGACTCTCTTCCCCGGTTGGCTTTGATGAGGCAAATGGCCATGTTGTAAACACTCATAGAAGGCTCTGTGGTGGCCAGCAGAGTGCTGTAACCATTGGACCACAAAGCCTTTCTTTGGGCACAGGGGCATTCATAGTCACTACAGGACATGAGTTAAATTTTTAAAAATTCAAAAATTGTCCTCCAAGAGCTATCCCAATTTATAAGCTCACCTGCAGGAAATGCATCTTTCCCAAGGTCTGCCAGTGCTTTGGAAATACCTTCATTTTTGTCCATCACTCCTATACTGTTCAGCTGATATATTTCATTCGTCTGTTTAGATTTGCCCTTCCTTGGATTATAAACACCTTTTAAAATTTGGGGCGGGGGAGGGGGGCGGGGGTAGGCGTGGGGGGAGAAGGCCCACAAATATTTCTATAAATTTGTTCATGAAATTTTTCTACATAATTGTATTGATGAGCTTTTAATCATCTTTATGCTGGTCCTTTGATATGTCACCCATCTCTTGCTTATGGATTTTGATAGTTCAATGTATAAATTCCTAAAAAAGGTCCCCCACTACCTTGTGATCCCAAACATTCTGATAGCTTTGTTAACATTTCTACAATTCTCTTTACATTTCAAATAAATTGATAAAAGCACTGGAAGTGAATGGTGTCAGGTAGGAGTCTATTACTTCTTATTGGAAAGCAATTGTTTCGGCTTTATTTATTGGCTAGCCTGCCAGTTAGAACCAGGAGTGCTGGCAGCGTTGTGGGCGGCACCTCGGGGTGCTCATGTCAAAGTCAGCAGTGTGAAACCACTAATGGCTCGGTGAGAAAAAGATCAAGTTTTCTACTCACGTAGCAGTCTCAGAGACCCACAGGGACAGTCCCACTGTGTCCTACAGGGCCACTGAGTCAGAATCCACTCGGCGGTCGTGAGCTTTTGACCAGTGAAATTCCAGGTAAGAGTGGGCTTCCTTCCAACTCCAGCTCCCAGAACCAGTTTGAGGTGAAGTCTTCCCCGGACCTCTGCAGGGCCTCGTCCCGTGTAGCGCACGTTCTCTCAGCACCTGCTCAAACCCACCTTCATTTCGACCTTTCTCCAGGTTTGGGCCCGAATCTCAGCTAAGTCTGAACACAGCAGATCAAGGGCTGTCAATGGTGCAAAGAGAGCATTCACACCTCGATAACCCTCCACCTATCCTCATTCTCTGTAGGCCTCGCTCCGAAGAGGAATACAGTGGGAGACCAGTAGTCTAAAAGCCGTTTATTGAAAAGAGCAAAAGATGGAAGACAGGCCCCCCACCGGCAGGGTGGTAGCCGAGCTGGGCCCCTGCTCAGCACCTCTTGCTTCCCCACAGGGCCATCTTGTTGTTGATGGGCAGCTTGAAGAAGCGGTCAGACTGCATGTACTCGGCTATTTTCTCCAAAGCCTGAAGGGAAGACAAGCCAAAGCTTTAGAGATCTGAGTCCTCACCTGCTGGCCCCGCCTCCACCTACCCCTGACTTCTGGTAGGCAGAGAGAGCCTTGGGGGTCCAGGCCTTTAACAAGAGTCTAAGCCTTAAAGGTGCCCACCAATGGTCCCTTTAGGTTTCAGGGGAGCCTGGAAGTGGTTTTATGAGAGGAAGGTGGGCGGAGCCTCACCTCAAAACGACACATGAAAGCCTTCAGATTTGGGAACTCATCCAGGCACTTGGGCTCAAACATGCGGTTCTGGTCTAAGACATCGTAGGTGAGGAAGTCCACGAAGGTGAGCTAGATGAAGGACAAGAGGGCAGTCAGGCCTGAGAGTTCATGGCCACCTCCAACCAAAACACAAACTCACGGCCATCGAGTCAATGCTGACTCAGCGCAAACCCCCCTTTGGGTTTTAGAGACTGCAAATGTTTACAGGAGCGGAAAGCGCAGTCTTTCTCCCAAGGAGCTGGCGGTGGTTTCAAACTGCCGACCATGAGGGTAGCAGCGCAACGTGTAACCACAACACAACCAGGGCTCCCATTCATTGGCAGCTCCAGGGATAGAAACGTGGCTTCTTCCCTTCCTTCCTACCTTTTCCCCAGCAAACCACGAGAATTTCCCCAGGAACAAGGAAAACTGTTTGAGGTTTCCAGGCAGCTGCTCCAAGTACTGAGGCTTCAGCTTTTCCTGGGAGCGAGACAGAGCGAGGAGAACAGACGTCACATTGTCACAGCTCATCAGGGCGGGGGCTACTTAGCAGGCCCTTCTGCAGAGGCATCTCCTCACTGCCTCCAGGGGGGGAGGTGGGGGCCAGGATGTGAAACAAGCATTTGAAAAGAGGAAGGGACCCACACTGGAGTCAGGACACAAAGCAAACCCGGAAGCAAGAATTCTGTTTCCTAGTCTACTGACACACTGGCGTGATGGGAAGGCAGCAGCAGCAGCAGCAGCAGCAGCACATGCCTGTGGTGGTTTTGTGCATGTTTGTTTTTCCTTTCCTGACACTGCAATCTGTTGATGCCTGTTAAAGAAACTCACATGGTCAGGGCTGTAGCTGATCCGGACAAGCTGCATGCGGAAATCCATTATCTGGTTCTCCATGATGTCCACGCGAATCTTCTCTTCTTCTGTGTTGCCACCTGTGGAGAGGACGACAAGAACTCACCCTTGGATGCACCCACTCCTAGCGAGCACCCAGCTGGGAAGACCTTCCTCACCAGCCTTCCCAACTCACACATATTGTGCTTGCGAGCGATGTAGCGCAAGATGGCATTGCTCTGAGTGATCTTGTTCTTCCCGTCCACCAGGTAGGGCAACTGGAAGGTAAAAAGGTTCAGTTCGCCACCTGGCTCTCTTTTCCTCCCACCTCTGCCCGTTGGAGAAGAGGCGGCTTCAGGGACATGGACAGGACATGACGTGTCAGGAGAAAGCAGTAGCTCAGTGGAAGTTAGCCATTCAGCCCTCACCTGATCAGAGGCGGGGCTCTTAATCTCTCTCTCTGAGCGTATACGTGCCGGAGACCCTTCCTCAGAATGTTTGCAAATACTGAAGGTAACTTACATACATTTTCAGGATCATTAAAATATTACAAAACCCCCAAATTATTGTAAGGTGATATATGCTGACCGATGCATCAGACAACTAACATGTCTAAACACTACGATTACTAAACACACTCATTACTGCCAGGTAATGAGTCATATTTAAGATATATGACACAAATACAACATAAGACAAAAACACCTGATTCTACCAGAGAGAAATTCACAGCTAGAGTAATAACCCATCTATATTCATAATAGAGAAAATGTGAGCGGTTAGTGGAGATTAAAACATAGCTTTGATTTTCCTTCCAAGTTCATGGACCCTGAAGTCCATCTGTTCTATCCAGGTGGCTCTTGTAGCTGTGTCCAGTTGGCCCTTGGCTCATGGTGACCCCACACACAACGGACGGAAACACTGTCCAGTTGCGTGCAGAGGAGGCTGTTGTGATGCATAGGTTTTTTCAGGAGCTGATTTTTGCAAGTCGATTGATCGCCAGCCCTTTTTCCCTAGTCTTAGCCTGGAAGCTCTGCGGGGATCTTTTCTGCTTCTTGGCAACACAAAAATCTCCGGGGACAGACAAGTGGTCCCTGGACATGAGGTGCACTGGCCAGGAATTGAACCCAGGTGTCCTTCCTACCAAACAAACAACCCAAACCTGTTGGCATCCAGCTGACTCTGACTCGTGGTGACCCTACAGGGGAGAGTAGAAACATCCCAGAGGGCCTGCAAGGCTATTAATCTACGGCAGCCGGCCTCCCAGCTTTCTCCTAGAGCAGCTAGGGCAGCGGTTCTCAACCTGTGGGTCGAAACCCCTTTGGGGGTCGAATGACCCTCTCACAGGGGTCACCTAAGACCATCGGAAAACACTATTTCCGATGGTCTTAGGAACTGATCCTCTATCTGTCTCCAGGCGGGTCCCACATAGGAGTACCCGGCATGAAGACTGTTATCCACGCTACACCATGCTTCAAGACAAAATTTCATTTATTTGTCATTAGAAATAAATATTTCAAAATATATAATTACATATTGTTTTTGTGAATCATCACTATGCTTTAATGATGTTCAATTTGTAACAATGAACATACATCCTGCAGATCAGGTATTTATGTGACGATTCATAACAGTAGCAAAATTAGTTACGAAGTAGCAAGGAAAATAATGTGATGGTTGGGGGTCACCACCACATGAGGAACTGTATGAAAGGGTCGAGGCACTGGGGGTTGGAACCACCGACCATCTGGTTAGTAGCCAAGAGCATCACCAGTGCAGTGCCGAGGCTCCCTCGTGTCTGTATGGCCAATGAGAACTCTCCCACTGAACCACCGCCGCCATTTCACCCAGGATGCAAGGAGGGACTGGGTAGGGAGAAGGGGGGAAAACAGAAGGTTTAACAGGATATTGTTGCTGATTTCATTTCTTGAGATGGGCTGTATAGTAATATCTATGTTTTAACACCCCCGGGCAACAAAAATCCTGACAGACCCCTAATCCCTCAATCCTAAATAATTTGAGTGGTTTAAAAAAAAAAAAGGAGGAAAAGTAAAATTGAAATGGAGTTGGGAGTGTTTAGTCATAAGCAAGTTCAACTTAAAAAAAAAGAACCGTTATTCTAGATCCTTCCAGATCAGAGAGAGATCCAAGGGCACGTGTACAGACCCCTTTCCCTCCAAGGCCACTCACGTTAGGAAAGTCCAGATCTAACTTGAATTTCACATCCAGCCACTGGCTTCGATCATAGTCGGGAGCTGTAAGAAGGAACAAGGGGGGGCCGACCTCCACACGATCACACCCGGGAACCCGTGCAAAGACAGAAAACAAACCAGCCCCCCAAACTCACATTCCCGGGCCCATTCCGTCTCTTTCCGCATCAAGTGTAACCCAGTCTCTTGTGCGGGATGCTAAGGCAGGGATGGGCCCTGCGCACGCGGGGCCTGTCTCCTCTCAGGGGGAAGAGGCAGAAGTTCTGACCGGCCGAAACAAAGGGCTGCCCGACTTTCCGGGGGCCACGGGCGCACGCTGCCCTGCCCGGGGCGGCCTTACCTTCCCCGCAGGTGTAGCGCTTCTCCTCGTACTCGGTGTTGGTGAACTCCAGGAGCATGCGGATGGCGTGCGCCAGCTGCGGACTGTCCCAGTAGCCCAGGAGCATGGACTGAG